CGATTATAGTACATTCATCCAACATCAATGATGTTAACTGATTTTAAGAGAGTATAAATACCTATTAAAACATTTTTTAAATTTTTATGTTTAAAGGATACAAAAATTGTTTATTTAAAAATGTTCAAAATTGTCTTTTTGTGTACTAGTTACGTTGGTCTTAACATAAAAATAAACTGGACATAATTTTATACTATTTCTTGTACCATTTATAATTCAATTCAATATTGCAAACCTGGGTGGTGATGTATGAAATGTTAGTTATCCTCAAGCAATATTTTGAACCTTGAGATAATGTCCAGACATTGAAAGGGCTATGAACATGGCCAACATTTAAATAAAACTATTGTATCATAGATGATATTTATATAGAGTGATCGACTTTTCATAAACCACTTGATTACTTTCAAAATAAATACAAAGTCGGAAGACGTTTTCAACTTCAAAAGTGGGGTGGATGATGACAACTTGCACGTAGCTCAACCTGCATAAGGCGTAACGGTTTTTCTTACGTCGAATTAATGTCACCAGCCTAGTGCTATACAGGTCCTAGACCATCACAGTCTTTCCAAAGAAGAAACAGAAATTATAACAGTACTAATAATAGTATAACTAGGTTATACAACGAAAACAGTCCTTTTAAGGACTACAGAACGCGGAATGCTGGATATACGCTTAGTGTGTCATCTAAACATTGAAGGAATTTCTAGATCCAAATGTGATGTATTATCAAAAATAGTAGAAAATAACAAGATAGAAGTACTTGCTATCCAAGAAACACATATGATCGATGAGGAGGATCTTAGGAAAAGAGGATACATATCGGGATTTCAACTCGTGGCAGCTCTTCATTGCAGAACTTATGGTACAGCCATATATGTAAAACAAGATATTAGAGACGCAGAAATTTTAAACTCTCACATTACAGACGATAATATCCATAATACATCCATTAAAGTGGCAAGCCTGCATATCGTTAATATTTATAAACCACCAGGTTCAACTTGGTCAGGCTCACAACTACCTATTTTAAACCATCCTTGTTTATACATCGGTGATTTTAATAGTCACCACCAGGATTAGTGATATGAACAAAATGATGCGAATGGAGATTTTCTTCACGATTGGATCACGAATAATAATAAATCATTATTGTTCGATGCTAAGGATAGGGGTACTTTTGTTTCAGCTAGATAGAGTAAAGAATACTCACCAGATTTAAGTATTACCTCAACAGACACCGCGAAATTGTTCCCTAAAATAACAAGATCAGTACTCAATAACTTTCCACACAGCCAACATCGTCCTGTGATGGTTGACTGGGGATTAAAATCCCAATCGTTCATACAATACAAAAAACCCGATGGAATTTCAAAAAAGCAAATTGGGAAAAATTTTCCAAAGAACAAACCTTGTTATAAAATGGATCCCTCCTGATATTGGAGCTTCTGACCGTTTCACAAACGATATTATAGCGCAAAGAAGAATATTCCCAGAGGTATCAGGAAAGATTATATACCCGGCTGGTCAGAGTACTGCAAGGAAATCTTCGAAGAATTCACTAATATGGGTGATCCCGACTTGGAGATAGAACTATTAAAATGAATGAAAACAGGAGAGAGATTTGGAGAACAAAAACTGAAAATTTGGACTTTACCCACTCTAGCCGTAAAGCATGGAGTCTTATTCGTAGACTAGATAGTGGGAAAAATCCAATTCCAAAAAATAACGCCTTTTCATCTAATAAAGTAGCCAGTCACTTGGTAAGCATATCAAATACCGATTCCGACAGAATATGGACTAAATCTGCAAAGAAAAAAGGCGAAGAAATCATTATCTAATGATAATAATCTTTCTGTGTATTTTAGTGCTGGCGAATTGGAACTCGCGTTATCAAATGTAAAGAAAAATAAATCTCCGGGGTTCGACGGATTTTTTCCAGAATTCCTAATTAATATAGGCCCTGAAGCTAAAGGATATATTTTGAAAGTTTATAACAAAATACTTAGTTCAGGTAACGTACAAACCTCTTTTAAAACAGCTAAGATTATTGCATTTAATAAACCTGGGAAAGACGGAAGTGAAGCATACCATTACCGTCCAATTTCATTATTAAGTAACTGTTACAAACTTCTTGAAAGACTCATTTTCAATAGGATTGCCCCTCTAATAGACTAAAACTCCTTCCATACCGCTATATGATGATATAAAAAATTTACCACCGTTGAGATTGAAATCACGAAATCCTGGCTGGCCGGATAATCCCGGTACATACCTTACCATCAAAGATCGATGGGAAAAAGAATGGAGTACAAAAAAGCCTTATAATTACGACCTTGTTGAGGATCTGGATCTTAAACTTCCAGAATTTAACATACCAAGGAGAGAGTGATCGAGACTAAACTGCTTTCGCTGCGGGCAAGGATGATCAAACCATCTGATGAAGAAATGTAAACTGACAGACTCAGAATTATGTAAAGCTGATGGAACGATCTAGACTATGAAACACCATGTAGAAGAGTGCCCGACACACCATTTTCCAGGAGGTATGAAAAGTTTGCACGTATTGGAAGGGAACGCCGTCCGCTGGCTGTACGAATTTGAAAAAGAAGTGTGAATTCATTTTTTTAAATGGCGCCATACATATTTAATTAGCTTATAAGATCACTTAGTAATTCATAGTATTATTTAATAAACAAACCTATACCCTTAGAATTTTGACTGAAAATCGTAATACTATATTCAGGTGTTAGAAGTTTTATTATATGATTTTTTTTGGGATGAGCGACATTAAATTGATAAATTAAGTCACTCTTTAAATAAAGAAATCAATATATTTTTTTTTACTAGGTAAATTATATTAGGTTAGTTATGGTATTGTGCCTGGAAATTTACATGAGGTAATTTTAGCTTCGATGCGAAGCTGAGAAGGTATCGGTTTTACTATGATATGTTTTTTTTTTATGTCTGTTACCACTTTTTCTCAGCTCTCACCAAACCAATTTCTTTAAATGATACGTGAAAAGATCAAGAATCGTATCTAGTCGAAGACATTACCCTCAAAAATTGAAAATATTTCCCTCGTTCCCCGTAAATAGGGGAAACCTCCAAAAAATTACAAATTTAAAAATCGCTAATTTTTTCAATTTTTTTTATTTAAAATGCCATAACTTTTTTAAAAATAACCAAATTAATATAATTTTTTGTTTATAGATGCATGATGTCATTACCTATCATTTGGTATATTTTTTTTATAAATCTGACTTTTTACCTGCCCACGGGGGAAGATTCATAATGACAACTTTTTCACAAAAAATTAACTTTTTCAACTTAACTTTTGAAAGTGTACCGGAGATACTGACACTTTTATATATATTTTAAATTAAAGCTAATGTAATATACTTTATTATAGAAAAAGAACTTTGTACTTTATTTTATCNGAAATACGAGATGCAAACGATATTTTTTTTGTTGATGTAATTTTGCCGAGGGCTTTAATGTATTCTAATTGAGGTATGTCATTAATAGTGTTTAAGACGATGGCTTGTTCTTTTTTTGGAAATTGAGTGTTGGCAGTGGTTTCAGCGAAGGTTTTTAGTTGAGGTGTAGATTGTGTATTTTGTTCTTGGGAATTCATGATTGATAAAATTGCCGTAGCAATGTTATCGGAGTATGCACCGGTGTGCGCTGGCGGCTTTATTAGGTAATTACGGGATAAGATAAGAAGTTACATACCTGCCCGATGGTTGTTATGATGATATAAATTGTATACTGCTATCGGAAGCTATAAAATACGGAAAACACATGCGTCTTGGACGGTGGTTAAACACGTACTGAATTTATATTTTATATAAATATAAATATAAAACAAACAAAAAACGGTTTTAAATCAATTACAAACATTTTTTACTAGCTTTTTTTCAAAATTACAATTTTATGAAATATGTTTTTATATTAGATACAATTGATTATTGCGATCGATTGTATCAACAACTTTGCACCTAAAAAAAATTATATATATATATGTATAAATATATTAAAAAATGTTATTATTAATTTATTTTTAACTTTTTCTTTGAAAATCTATGCTTGCATTAATAGAGGATGAGAAAACCTAAGTGTAATGTAACTNTTAATAGAGGATGAGAAAACTTAAGTGTAATGTAACTCCTTCAATATTTTTTTAAATGTACCACTAGTCAAGTTATTTAATTATGGTGCAATAACAAGATATAATTAACCTTTTTTTTATTATTTTCTTGATTTATAACTTGTTAGCATTATTTTTAAGTTCATTGTATAGAGTTATCATTGAACAAAAATTGTCTACAATTTTATTGTAAAACATATCAAAGATATTACTGATTAATCAATTAAATTTCATTATTATTTATTTATTTGTATGTATACAAAATTATTTCAAGATTATTTGATTATGTAAAATTAAGCTAAACTGCATTATAGTCATATGATTTAGCACATGTCAATTACTATGATTGGGTTTGGTATCACATTCTATTCTCAACATAAATCTTCTTCCTTTATTTATAAAAATACACCCTATCCTATATTTTTGAAAGATAAGGTTATGTAAATAGGGTATAATAATAATATTACAATTAACTAGATTTATTATGGTAAAAAAAGGTTTTAAATTATTTTTAACATCTAAAATTTTCTCGTGACTTTATTTGGCTATAATCTGTTTACTTTCAAATTCTTCCTGAATTAAAAATTAATTTAATTTAATTAGTTAATTAAAAATTAATCCAATGCGAATTACAGCTGTAATCCGTATTGGCATATTTTTTTTTCATTCTGATCAGCATCTTAGTGGGCCATCCTGAAATTGCCGTTAGGCATTACTTTAGGACAGCCCACGCTTTTTCTAAAACTCATACCGCATCGTTGTGAATCAGCCCGAACTAAATCAAAAGCCAAATCGTGTTTTATACCTAAAAAATGGACTTTTATTTATATTTACTCTATATATAGATAAAATTCAAGTATACAATTATTATTAAGCAATACACTATCATTGTATGTGTGTTTTACTTCTTCTCAAATAATAAAATGATCAATTAAGCGGTCGTTTAAAAATATTGATTGTAATGATACCTTAATTGTTTGCAGTATTAAGATATGGCTATTTTTAACGTCAACTATATTACGCAAATTTAGAGTACTAGTCTCGAAAAAAACAAGATATACTAATGATTTAAATGCTATGTATATGAGTATATGAATAATGGAAACATACATTTTTTTAGAAGAGGTTTTCTATTAAGTTCTCAACAAAAGATTATTGCAATTCTTTTACATTGTATGATTAAGAAGGATTAGTAATTACACATTCGCTTGCTAATTAGAGGAAATTTTAAGCACCTTATGACACCAAGTTTCTAATCATTTTTATAAATGACTTCTGTTAATATCAAGTTCAAAGTAAAGTTACTAGAAATTCTCAATAAAAATGGTTTTATTTTAAAATTATTTTTAAATAAAATATTTATCAAGGTATTTTATAACTCAAAATAAAGTTTTTTTATTTAAATTATTTATAAAATGCTTTAAGCAGATTTAATTTATTTTTAGACATTGATACTAAATTAGGAGAGAGTTGGGTAATCCCGCCCGTCTAATAATTCCGTTTATCAGCACATCAAAAAAATTATATATGTTACGTAATTTTGTGCCTAAAAATCATAGGCCGACAAATTTACACTTCCCACACTCAACTTTAGTTAGTTGTTGACGGAGGAACGTTGCGTCCTAAGAGTTTCTTTCCTCATTCCTTATAATTTTTCGGAAATTTATAATATGAGAAAATCCATACTGTATTTAACACATTAATATCGTAGAATTAATGGCCGTTTCAAGTAGTTGGGATTAAGGCGAGGAAGAAGAAGAAAAAGAATATCGTAGAATTAATGTGCAAAATTTGGAACACACAATTTACTTAACTATGTAATTTTGAAATTGGAAAATGAAATTATTGAGTTTGCCATATTCATGCACATGATCGTGGTAAATTAAGATGTGAAATTGAAAATTATGTAATTTTGGAAAACTGAATTATTTACAAATACACCGTCAAAATAGAGAAAAACGATTTTGAAATTAAAAATAGCTTAAATAGCCATCTTTATCATCCGATTCTTCTTCTAATATTTCTAGAAATATAAATCACTCTAAACCCCTTAATTTCATTCATTAGTTTGTAAAAATTCAAAATTATATTTTTATATCTATTATTATATGGTTACTCACTAAATGTTTACCAAATTACTAAATTACTAATCAGACTATGTTCGCAGTACCGTGATATATCATTTTTTTGTAATTTTGTAATAATTACTTTCTGTTTAATTTTCTGAATATTTTGCTATGTTATATGCGTAGTCAATTAAATTTCCCTGTACTTATTAAATTTTTATTTCTATAAATCAAACCTTGTCTAAGTGCAAGGGGCCCGGTATTGCTCAACTCTCTCCTACTTGATCTGGTTTTAATTTTATTCTATTTTAATAGAAAATAATTACTTTAAGCATTTGCAGTAATGGTTTGAAGTACATTTCCACTTAGTATGATACTTGACTCTAATTGATCAGTTAAAGAGTCTAATGTATACATATGCAACTTATAAAATAACTTATTAGGTTTTACTATAGACCTGTAATTATTAAAAACTTATATTAAATATATGTTTAAATTAACTAAATAATTAGGTTCAATCTCATATATCATACAAAATAACTAGACTTGATCCTCTTGATCTTGACTCAATTAAATTTTTTAAATGTAAATAATGGACAAACATATCTTCCATGTCACCAAATTCTTGTTCGCTATTGATTTGATCACCTGTAATAAATATGTTATAAGATTTTTTACGATTATAAGTGATATAAATTTTCTAGAAAATGTTGAGTATGACGCTTAACTTTAATATACTTCCTGGTAATTATAATTTTTCCAAGGCAAAATATAAAATATTACAACATACGTACATCTTAGAATAATTTTGGGTGTACACTCATAATTTTACTGTAATAATTAAATGTATATAATAATCTAAAATTTGAAATTTGTAATATTTGTGCTAAATGAATCAATTAAAAAAACTATTTAATATAAGTAGCTAACTTTTTACTAGGTGATTGTCAGCAGAGTTTATTAAAATTACTTCAACAGCATCAAATTCAATACGGTACATTGATAGTAATTCGATTAATCTAAAATTGCAAAACAATTATAAAAAGATATAGCATATAATTTTTGCTTAAAATTATTTTATATTAATGGTATTTAGCACCATTCTATTAAATATCGCTAGATAAATATATACTTTTATATTTATTTATAATTTATTAACGTTGATTATATGTATATAGAGGGTGATTTTTTTATCATAACACTAAAACAAATACAGGTAGCTAATTGGTTTTCTATGACTTCAATATTCGCGAATATGCAGCTTTTATCATCAATTACAGTAAGGTACATTGTTGTGAGTTTATAAATACACTAACTGTCAATACAAAAAGCATATCTATTGATAGTCATAATTGCTAATAAACACTCCATGATTGTGATAGCAACGTCATAAAAAATCAATTAGCTACCTGTATTTGTAATCATTCATGTATTATACATGTATATGAAAAATTTGAAACTTTAAAATGTTATTTCTAATAAACGAAGAAAGATATATTAAAAATTCAAATGCCATTTACTATTAAATTAAAAACTGAAACATTTTATTAAATTCAAAATATGTGTTCCCATTTGAAAAAACAAACTTGACAACCTTAGAAGGCATAAGGGATGAACTTAAAAAGTATTACATAGTTAATAATTCAAGAATGTGTAACTAAAGAAAACCAAAATAATGTTCAAATTATTTTTATTATGTAAGTAATTGAGTTGGTTATGATAAAAAATAACAACTTGTATATTTTACGGAATTTATAAATTTAAATCCAGCTTGTCTTTTGAATTTCGTTTTATAATCCTGTTTTGTATAACTTTTTATTTTACATTTTTAAAAACTAACATGTTTTGATTTAATAATAAAAAATTCGTCCTTTAATTTTTTTGGAAACTTGATTCGTTTTGTTTAATAAAGAAATCCTCGTCGTAAGATTATAAGTCTTATCACTTGTATTCAAACTTAAATACGCGTCAACTATATATATATATAGTTTTCTACGTGAAAATGGCCATGCAATATCAATCATAGCCCCTGCCATATATCCAATCTTTATGTTAAATTTTTAATAACTTTTATTGGCTTTTAGTTTTTAATAGGGTAATTATAAATACTTATATATGCCGTATATTAATTATTCTTTTAAATATTTTAGTAGAAGCAAATATTAGTTTTTAAACATAATTATAATTTTCTATATTTTAAACTTTGTTTCTTAAATAGTCAATAGTTGGAAAGCATTAGTTATCGATTAAAACTTAAAAACTAATTTTTGCCTATCCTCAAATATTTATTAATGGATGTAATAAATGAACATATAGGAGGTTCGCCAAAATTGAACCACTACCATATTTTGGCCATTAATTATTGATATTGTTTAAATTGTGTCACATATATGTAATTACTACGTGTTTAGGCCAATTAAATGTCATCCTATCAATACACAAATTTTAAAATTAAATTTAGTGAAAACAATGACTTTTATGGTTTTTTTTTATAATTTAAACTATTAAGTTTCATTTTATACCAATTATATCTAAATCTAAGAAAAGTTTAATAAAAAAATATAGTTTCTATGGAAAAGTGCTAAGAAAAGAATGGCCTTTTAAAATTAAAATATATCTCGACAGGCTAATAAAATTCGAAATGGGTTCCAGGTTTCCCTAAATCTAATACTGTGTGAATATTTTCAGTTTCGATGCATATACATCTCTTGTAAGAGAGAGATATAGACAACAATAATGTTTTTTATTACTAAGTGCACCTCGTATTAAGTGCATTATAATTATAACATAAGTCAACAAAATTTTTTATACCTTTCTTTTTCAGTTGCCACATTCTCTTTAATTTTTGCCACACCAAATATACGAAACTTGCATTTTTTCCATTCATTGCAACATTTTAACATATGTGTAATGATTAATGCTAAACCTAAAAAAAATAAGGAATGTTTTACTTTAATTGACATTTCACTCGATAAAAATTGTTTATATTTTATATACCTCCGTCGTCATTTAACCACCAAATATCTACTACATTATTTTTATTCATTTTAGTGCCGAGTGAGAAATGTTTTTCATTTTTATTTAAATAATATATAGAAGTCCTATAAAGATTAAAAATGATTAAATAACTTATTAATCTTATTTGATATTTAAGTCGGAAATGGAAGGAGAGGCCAGAATTATTTTTAAGAGAACAAAAACGTTTCGTAATCTACAAATATGTTTTTATTTTGCAAATTTAATTAAAGCCGATGGTTTTAAAGAACAAAGTTCCCTCTCTGATCAGAAAATTGTGCTAGAAGGCTGATTTAAAAGAATTTAATGCTTATGTAAAATAAAAAAAAAATTATCTTAATTTTAATTTTTAATTTCTAGGGTCAGGAATTACATGCATTTATAAATTTTGTTTAAGCCATTTTGAAGGGTCCTGATTTTGTACAACTTTATCGTAGGATAATATAGTAGCGTTGATATATTTATTGTTATAGAGAGAATAAACTATACATAAATAAGTATTTAAGTTAATTAATAAAAATTTAACTGATTAATAGTGTTCAAAATAACTTAACAAAATTTACAAATGCATACAATCTGGTTCAAAGTAATTTCTTGTATTATAGGGGAATTTTTCATGAAATCATAAACAGTAGGCCCATCTCTACTCTTTCTGACAATAATTTTAAGAGCAAACGTATAGTTATATATTGTTACTTTGGTTTTCTGTTTTTACCATCTTCTATCAGAGGCGTATTGTCTTCTTCATTAATTTTATTATTTTTTTCCTTGGCTGTTTTAAAACGAGCGATCATAATAGCAATTCGATTATCAAATGCTACACTAAATCGCATAAAATTATTAAAGTTTAAACTCAACAATAACATATAAATAAATAAATACTTATAATTTTGTATTGAAGTACAATTGAATGTAGAGAACAAAAATAAATAGCTATTAAATACTTGTATTTAAAATATTAAAAAATATTTTAAGTATTTATGAAGCATTTGTTTTAAATGTATTAAACAAGTAAACACTTGAACACTTTAAATAAATAAGGAAACCGATAAAAGTGTAATATTATTATTATAAGATGTTGTTTATACTTAAAAATACTAAAGTAACTCTGAAGGTCGTCATCAGAACAATTTTTCCAATCGCTTTTGAAGCCCATAAATATGATGTTGGGTTTTAATTGTCCATAACTACATAGATAAATCATTCGTACTGCTAAATTTAAGCTAATGCCATCTAATATATTATACAAGCATTTTATTCCATATGCCTTTAACCACAGCATACTATTTTTCATGTCATTTTGTATTTCTTGAGAAGTTATTCGATTCTAAACATATTGCAAAATGGTAGGTGTGCATCAAAATTATATTTTAACAAAAATTACCTGTTTTACATTAACACACATTAATAAACCGTTGTTTTTGGTTATTGAGCTGGCAAAATATACTAGATGTTTTCTTAATTCTAGACTTCCTGAGAGTAATAATATGTTGGGTGAATAGTTTTTAACGTGATATAAACAAGAATTAATTTTATATACATGTTTCAATACATTTTTAAATTTTCTATACTGCATCGATGAACCCCAATTAAGATCTGTAAATGTATAATAATATAATAATATAAAGACTGTAACCTTACACAATATCGTATTGTAGTTTGTTGCTGGTCTTAATACAGTCTTTAATGAAGAGTAACAAACCGTATTTTTTTCGACTAGCAATTGCATATAGAAGCAAAAGTAAGCAACTGATAATTATCGACATGTTATTATCAACATAGAACATAATAACAAAACATGCGAAACAACCAAACAGACTTAACCATTTGTTATAAAACTGAAAGTTTATAATTTCTTTTAATTCAACTATTACAATTCATAACAATTGATATATTTAAAAAAGAATACACGTACTTTAAACGATGGTCTCCATCCTACAGGATTATAGTAGGCGACGTGGAAAGTACAAATATTTAACAATGCATAAGTACATAAGTAAATACTCGACGAAAAAGATGCAAGAGCATTGAGATTTCCTGAATCAAAAATATAGTATAATAAATTTTGTTGTTTTATAATAATTGTAAATAAATATAAAAAACATATTAGGAATACTTAGTTTCAGTTTCTACTAAGAATTGTTAGAAATTCGAAAACTGAGGAAAATATATGCCAGCGGTATGAGAATTCAGATCTCTTACTATACGGACGAGAGCTTTTCCACTACGTTACCTGACGGCCATACCTAATCTCCAACTTTCAAATATCTTAATTGGTTAATAGCACTATCAATGTTGTACTAAACAAAGCCACAGAATTGTTTTTGATCCATGTCATCATGTTATTTAATTAACAATATTATATTAACTTAAATTAAATCAATTTATTTCATTCCTTGTCTTTAAATATATCATATACTAATGTATGAATGAAAAAACATAATAATTAATAAAATTAATTAATTATTTAATTATGTTTGATATAGACTAGATTGACTTTCTAATATTCAAATGGATATGAACTTTTAATTATTTAAATATTAATTATTGTTATTTAATGTTATTTAATGAAATTTAAATCAAACAAAATTTTTGAAATTACGCACTAATTTTTGTGTATTTATAAATATATAATTTGCTTTACCTACTAGCATAAATGCAGATGCTAAAAGAACTGTCGCAAAATGTGCTCGATAAGGTTCATTCGTTTTGCCGTATCCAACTGATAAATAACTTAAAAATGGATGTACATTGTCTTGCCCCATTCTTTGTAAAATTTTTGGAACGGCTATCAAAGAAGTTAGAGCAGTGCTTATGGTAGCTGCAAAACATCCAAAGTATATAAAATTTGGCCATAACGATAGTGATTGCATTATCTAAAAAGTATTACACTTATATTTATTAATAATTTATAGTTAAGTTAATAAGATATGACATATTAATGGCTATGTGCTCGTTAAAATTCACAAAAACAAATTCCCTTAAATTATTAACAAATGTTATTTCTTATTTTACACAATATATTTTATAAATTAGGTATTGGTTTTAAATTGAAAAAAATAATCTAAAAGTAAAATAATTAAATTTTTAACATAAATCACTAATAAATATATTAAAGATCTATATAAAGTATACTAAAACAAGTTGCACTAGGCTATAAAAGTAAATGATTAATAATATTTACATTGTCATCAATGATTGATAACCCATGCTTGCAATTATTTGTATTTGAGCAATTTAAATACGATCCATTTATATATTGACTAACATCACCACTTGCTTCTCTTAGCTGAACAGATCCTGTTACGACTACTAGAGCTACGTATGATGTTATTGATATCAAAATCGACCATAAAGTTCCTTTTGGTATAGCAATACTTGGGTTCTGTTATTAAATTAAGGAAATTAAGAGATAGTTATTTAACTATTTTTCAAAAATTAATTTTTATATTAACCTTGAGGTCACCACAAATATTTGCTCCAGCTTGTATTCCAGTTACTGCAGGGAAAAAAATAGCAAAAATTGTAAAAAATGTTTCTTGATTGTTATTTGAGGATCGATAATCAGGATGCCAGTTTCTTAAAAATGTATCCACTGAATAAAAATAAAAATAACACATATAACCAATAGTTGATAATAATATCAAGTGAAATTAGAATTTTTACTACTAAATCCAGTGAATCCAGATGCTTTTGCTTCAAGACTTTTTGGTCCAATGATTGACCCAATGATTACATCGAAGATTGCAACAACAATAATTGCAACTAGTAAGTTTTGAACCTAAATATATTAAAATGAAAATTACTGAGTTTTTTATTTTAATGTTTACACAAATAGAATGTTAAAAATATTAACTCTTACTTTTGCTTCATCATCCATGCCCATACAGCATATTATACCCATTAAAATTATTGATGCAATTCCAATGCTTATAAGCACTAAGCTAGAATTCATAAAATGAATATTATAAGTCTGAAGCAAAGTATTTAAAGACATGGAGAATCCAAGAGTATTTAACGCTGCCACAATTGTATTTGCGAACGCAAAAAGAATTCCCAAAGAAGCTCCCAGTTCTGGACCTATTGATCTTGAAATCAAAAAATATAAACCCCCTAAAAATAATAAGGAAATAATTGTTTTAAATTTTCAAGGTATCTGTCAATAACACATTTATGTGTTAAAAATAAATGAATTAGTTTTTACTAGCCTCCTTTAACTTGACCATTAGAACTTATTGCACTAAGTGAAAAAGTTGTGATAACTATAATTATTGTTGAAATAAAAATAATTCCTAAAGAATCGCGTATTCCAGCTTGTCCAACTATCCATGGAAGTTGTAAAAAAAGCATAACACCCCACATACTTAATAGACATGGATTCAAGACACCTTCAATCCACCCTAATTTGACATTATGATGATTTTCAGTTGAAAATTGTTCTCTTTCGTAAAAGTTGTTATAAGAAAAATCCTAAAAAAGGCAATTTAATATCATATAAATTATGTATTTAATTTTGGCTTAAGATATTTTTTTGGTGATAATTAGCAATATAATATATAGAAGGTATAATGCCTTTATCAAGTAATCAAGGATTTTTGTGTTGAAATTTTAAAAGATATTACATTAGGGATATATTTAGTCTTTAAACCAAGACGTTAATAAAAAGAATTATGTTATTCATGATTATTTTTAACACATAATTAAACTTTATAAAAATATATATTTGTCTGTAGGTCTTTTAGTTCTTTGTATCATGTGAACATTAATAATGAGTTAGTTTAATTAAAAATTAAAAAGCTATATTANATAATTTTTTTATGTAGAAAAACTATTAAAAAATACAAAATTAAGTAATAGTAGAGAAATTTAAATTTTATTAAATGAGTAATAAACTGTAAAAAAAAAATGAAAAATAAGTGTACTCTTACCCAATTGATAGGGCGAAAATCTAATAAGTATTGAGTAAAATTTTAATGAGCTATTTAATAAATAATTATTTGATTAACTAGGGTTTTTATTCAAAATAATAAAATAAATAATGAAATAATAAAAAAGTTTATTAAATTTTATAATTTTTAGCTTCGATGCGAAGCGGAGAAGGTATTAATTTTACTATGATGTGTTTTTTTTTTTTTTTATGTCTGTTGCCACTTTTTCTCAGCTCTCACTGGACCTATTTCTTTCAAAAATACGTCAAAAGATCACAAATCGTATCTAGTTGAAGACATTACCCTTAAAAATTGAAAAAAATTCCCTCGTTCCCCGCAAATGGGGGAAATATCCAAAAAAATTACAAATTTAAAAATCGCTAATTTTCGAAAATTTTTCACTTTTTTTTCTTAAAACTTCCATAACTATTTGAAAAATCAACAAATCAACATAATTTTTTTTTATACTAAAACCTTAGATATTTACCTTTCATTTGATATCATTTTTTTGAAAATCTATCACTTAACCTGCTCATTGGGGGGGATTTAAAATGGCAACTTTTTTACAAAAATTAATTTTTTCAACTTAATTTTTGAAAATGTTCCGGAAAGACTGCGTCCTTTAAACATATATCAAATTAAAGCTTATTTTATGTACTACAAAATGAAAAAAAAAAATTTGTCCCGACACTTTTTTTTCTACATTTAAACGGCTGCCGTAGTTAAAAAAACACTATTTTTGTGTTAAAATTTTCGATTTTCGATTTTAAATTTTCAACTTAAAAATGCTATAACTTTTTGAAAAATGTATATATCAGCACAAATTTTTTTTTTCTAAATACATTATAAGTACATCTTTCATTTGACATACTTTTTATTAAAATTGGACAATTTCCCCTTATATAGGGGGCGTTCAAAACTTAAAATATTGTAAAAAACATAGATCTTTTTCAACTGAACTTTTGAAAATGTTCCGGAAATACTGCGTCCTTTAAACATATATCAAATCAAAGGTTATGTTATATACTATCAAATGAAAAAAAAAAATTTGTCCCGACATCTTATCTTCTATGTGCAAATGGCTGTCGAAAATTTAAAAAAAAATGTAATGTTTGCGATAAAAATTACATTTTATCGGGATGTTTTTTGTACTTAAAACTGCCATAACTTTTTCAAAAATGAACAAATAAAAATAATATTTTTTTGTATTGAAACCTTAGATATTTCCCTTTCATTTGATATAATTTTTTTTGAAAATCTAACACTTATTCTGCTCACTGGGAGGATTTAAAATAGTAACTTTTTTACAAAAAATAACTTTTTCAACTTAATTTTTGAAAATGTTCCGGAAATACTGCGTCCTTTAAACATATATAAAATTAAAGCTTATTTTATGTACTACAAAATGAAAAAAAAAAATTTGTCCCGACGATCTATCTTCTATACGCAAATGGCTACCATATTGAAAAATATACTATTTTTGTATGATAATTATGGGTTTTGTATTTTATTTTAATAGAAGTTGATGTTGCTTTTGCAATTATCCATCAATTTTTTAAAATTAAACACTATCTACAGATTTGCATCGAAGCGTTTCTTATGATAGTGATTTTAATCACTGTCAGATTAAATCTATACTGGACCCTACTATGCAATGTCTCCACTATGCCGCGACCCCACTGTGCTACCGTTTTTATAATTGCAATTTAATATTTAATTATAATAAGTGATAAAAATTGATAACTATTTTTTTTTTTTATTAATATTTTTATAAATAAGACTATTACAAAATAATTGGAGTAAAAATGATTATAATAATTTATCAAATTTAATAAAATAAACCTCATCTATTTTAAAGTCAGTATAAAATAAATGCTTTTAGAGCTAAGTTGGACTTTCACTCCAAATCAAGTATTTTGTTTTAATTCTATTCCAAAATTGTGGGCAAAAATAAAACTGTCATCACTAAATATTGTTTAATAAACACTATACTTCCAATCAAAATCAATTGGTTCATAAATATAAAATTTATTAATTTGTTTCATTATTAAAATACGCTCTTACTACAATTTACTTTTTTCTTTTTCCTTCGAACGACTTAATGTGAACCGCCCTGGAACTGCCATGACGCATTACTTCAGGGCGGCCCTCGTCGCCTTTTAAATGCCTACTTTTCAAGATGTCTAGTACATTAAAACATTTACAATATATTAAAAATGTGAATGGAACATCAGAGGTTGAAAGATAAATGATGACTGCCATATAGTTTTCACATAGGTCAGATTTTTCACATTTGGGACAATTTGAAAGTAATAAATAGAATACGAAAAAAATTACAGTTTTTTTAGAAATATATTATGTGTATGTCATTTTCGAATATTGAAGGGTACCTAAACTACAAATAAATTGTCTGTATTAGGTTAAGCGAATCGAGTAATTATTGGTTTGTGAAATCTTATAATAAGTATTTTTTATAATTAAAAATTGTCACTATTTTATTTAACTGATTTAACTGTAGACTAATATTTATGTATTTAAAACCTAAATTTTCATTGCTAAATAATTAATGATTACAAACTTAATAAATAATTATATAATATACAAATCTCATTTAATTAAATTAATTATATGACACATAATTACCTCATCTAACACACTCGTCATTGTTAATTCAACAATTTCTATCGTTTCACACATTTTAAAAATTATTTATAAATAAATTTAATTCTAAATTTTTCATAGATTTTTAATATTATTAAGTAAAATTATATAATGCGAAACTCTACAACTGTCAATTTAGTCTGTCAAATATAATATTTTTTAGCTATAAATAAAAAAAACTAGGCGTGTAAGTTTAAACAAAATTATCATAGTCGTTGAACATGACAATACGCTTGATTACTGTAAAAATATGCGCAAACATCATTGTTGAAACTTATTCGTTGACTGTCATGAGATATTTACCAATATGAGGACCATAAATTAACATAATTGATTGACATGGTTTTAACACTTATGTTAAAAATTTACCTTGAATTTTATATATCAATTAAATTGATAACTACAGTTCCATTAAATTTTAATTTGAGTTGTTCTGTTTTTATTTTATTTAAATCATGATGAATTATATTTTAAAAATTTTATAAGAATGAAATCTATTATGTAACAGTAAATACTTAATAATTACAATTAGCTGTACAGAGTTAAAACTACTGCGTATCTATTATCCTTAGGTATGTATTTTAAATATTTATCAGGCCTTGATAGTATAAAATATATTAGAATTTTGATTTAAATATTAAAATTAGGTTTGGAAAATGTTGTAAATTTTTAATTTAATTTATATTTAAACATTAATGTCATTATTTTTAGTAAACTAAAAATAAAAAAAACCCAGCACAGGGGGTTTGCGGCATAGTGATGACGTGGCATAGATGGATCAAGTATAATGATATCTGACAGTGATTAAAATCACTATCAAAAATAAACGCTTCGATGCAAATCTTTAGATAGTGTTTAATTTTAAAAAAATTGGTGTTTTATTCCAAAAGCTACTTGATCTGCTGGTTCCTTATTAATATCTCGATTAAGATAAAGTATGTCGAATGAAAAAGGGTTTATTAAAAAATATTATTTCTCATAAAAAAATTGTGTGGATCCATAAACTTTTCAATAAGTTATAGCATTATAAAGTTAAATATAATATAAATAATAAAATCGAGAATTTTCACACGAAAATAGCATTCAGTAGCCATTTTCGCCGTGAAGACAAGTCCAGAGGTCAAATTTTTTTTTTTAAAATGAAAGTATATTACATTAGCTTTAATTTAAGATATATATAAAAGTGTCAGACCTTCCGGAACATTTTCAAAAGTTAAGTTGAAAAAGTTAATTTTTTGTGAAAAAGTTGTCATTTTAAATCCCCCCTGTGGGAAATTAAGTGTTAGATTTACAAAAATTATATGCCAAATGATAGGTAAAGACATCAAGCATCTAAAAAAAAAAAAATTATATTGATATGTTCATTTTTGAAAAAGTTGCGGCAGTTTTTAGTAAAAAAATTAAAAAAATTTCGAAAATTAGAGATTTTTAAATTTGTAATTTTTTTGGAGGTTTCCCCCATTTACGAGGAACGAGGGAAATTTTTTCAATTTTTGAGGATAATGTCTTATCTGTCTGAGAGCTGAGAAAAAGTGGTAACAGACACAAATAACTACGGCAGCCGTTTACATGCAGAAGATAAAGTGTCGGGACAAATTTTTTTTTTCATTTTGTAGTACATAAAATAAGCTTTAATTTGATATATGTTTAAAGGACGCAGTATTTCCGGAACATTTTCAAAAATTAAGTTGAAAAAGTTAGTTTTTGTAAAAAAGTTGCTATTTTAAATCCCCCCCTAATGAGCAGGTTAAGTGTTAGATTTTCAAAAAAGTGATATCAAATAAAAGGGAAATATCTAAGGTTTTAGTATAAAAAAAAATTATGTTGATTTGTTTATTTTTGAAAAAGTTATGGAAGTTTTAAGAAAAAAAAGTGAAAAAAATAACTAAATAAATTCAACTTATTTTATAACTAAACATTGATTTGATAAAAATTTTTATTACTAGATTATGAATTCATACAGTCTGCTAGCAAACGACTTGTTAAAAATTTTAAATGTTTTAAAATAAAATTGGACAATATATAGGGATATTATATAGGGGACGTTCAAAACTTGAAACATTGTATAAAAAATAGAACTTTTTCAACTTAACTTTTGAAAGTTTTCCGGAAATACTGCGTCCTTTAAACATATATAAAATTAAAGCTTATTTTATGTACTACAAAATGAAAAAAAAAACCCCAGCACAGTGAGGTGGCGGCACAGTGGGGTCGTGGCATAGTTGGGTCCAGTATAGATGATATCTGACAGTGATTAAAATCACTATCATAAAAAACGCTTCGATGCAAATCTGTAGATAGTGTTTGTCTTCTTCAATACTCATTATATTCAGAGCCTTGATATGAGAAATTTCAAAGAGGTTGTCTAATTCTTTAGAAAAAATATTGTAATGTTGTTCTTGTGTTTCTGTTTTTCTAGATTTATTTTTGTCCAACTTTCTCTATTTCTCATACAGTATTTTTAATTTAATAACACAGTCTGAAGAATACTGTGTAGGAATACGCGCTTTTCTCCAAAATATTAAACACTCATCTATTACAATTATTATTTTATTGTGTTTGTTGTTTTTTTTTTATTTAATATAACTAAGAAAATTTGTTTGTTTATAAACAAAAAAACATACATGCAAAATATTTGGCATAGTTGGGTCCACTATAGATGATATCTGACAGTGATTAAAATTACTATCATAAGAAACGTCTCGATGCAAATCTGTAGATAGTGTTTAATTTAAAAAAAAAATTTGTCAAAAAAGTAGGTCAACAGAGAGCTGAGAAAATAAATGATAGCTACAAAAAAAAACCACATAGTAATATAATATTAATATGAATTTCTTCTCACGAGAGGAGACTACAGTAATGGAATAGTTATTGAAGTTAAACATTTTTTTTTCTAATTAAAAAAGAATTAAGAACAAATTCAGTTCCACAGGCGTGATAGACCTAAGTGTTACCGTCTCAGAAACTGTACGTCTCATTCGTCACTTAATAAAAATGGAAATTTAGCTAGTTCAAATTTTAAAGTTATTTTTCTCGACTTCAAAGAAACAAAAAAATTTAAATATGATTAATTTTTGATACTATGTCATTTAGATTGATATAATATTTATGAAAATCAGTGTAATTCCCTTATAATAAAATAAAATACAAAACCTAGAATTTTAATAGAAAAATAGCATATTTTTGAATACGGTAGCCATTTGCGCATAGAAGATAGGTAAAATTAAACGTTCTCAGCTTCGCATCGAAGATAAGACGATTTCAATGGTAAAGATAAAAATATTATGTTTTTATATTTTTAACGACAAAGTATTATAGATACGGCTTTTTTGCTAATAACACTTTTTATAGTTAACATTTAGTTCTACAAGTTTAATTTTATAATTTTTTCTGTAAATAGTATAGATTAAGAGATAAGTGACAAAAACGAAAAACCTACTTTCATAGTCAAATTTTCAACCCTCTTGCGGCTTCTGAAGATATTAAAATTTTTTTTTTCCATAATCAAGAGACTAAACTAAAACTTTTTTTTTCTATTAAAATTTAATTATCAACATTTTCAATATTTTATTCCGCCCTTATGGTCACACTTCCAAAAAAATGATTTGTTAATCAGGTAAAATATAATAAAAACTGTCAATAAAATAAATATCATTCTAGAATCACATCAAATCTCAAGATAATTTGTTTTGAAAATAATGTAAATAATTAACATTAATAAATTTAATTAAAATATTGGCATTTAAACAATTAACTAATTAGGACATCCGTTTTTGGTAGCATAATTAATTATATTGGTATAACCATTTCGAGTAGCTTCAAAAATAGTACCTCGACTCCACGGACAATTATTTTCATGGGCATATTTTAAGCTACGAAATTGACCATTTGCAGCAGCAAGTCTTGTTGTATTTTCATCCCACTCACACCCATTTTCATGAATATATTTTAGACAGTCTAAATGACCGTTTGCAGCAGCGCCACTCTTTGTTCCATCATCCCATTTATAGCCATTTTTATGTGCAAATATCAAACAGTCAATATAACCACCGGCGGCAGCTTCTCTTGTTGTTCCTTCATCCCACTCATACCCATTTTCATGGGCATACTTTAAGCAGTTTAATTGCCCATTTGCTGCCGCTCCTCTTGTCGTACCTTCAATCCAATCACAACCATGTTGAACGGCATATTTTAAGCAATCTAAATTACCATGCACAGCAGCTACAACTATTGTATCTTTATCCCAATTACATCCATTTTCATGAGCATATACCAAGCACTCTAAACAGCCACTTGCTGCAGCAGCTCGAGTTGTGCCTTCATCCCATTTACAACCATTTATATGAGCATATTTAAGATATTCCAATCCATATGCAGCAGCTTCACGCATAATACCTTCACCCCATTGACACCCATTTTTGTGAACATATTTTAAAATTTCTAGATAACCCTTTAGAATAGCAGTTCTCATGCTATTATGATTCCATTTGCAGCCATTTTCATAAGCATATTTTAGGCATTCTAAATTACCATTAGAAACAGCTGCTTCTGTAGTGTTTTCGTCCCACGGACATTCATTTTCATGTGCATATTTTAAGATTTTTAAATTACCCATTGTGGCAGCCCAAGTTGCTGTCCTTTCATCCCATTTACAGCCATTTTCATAAGCATATTTTAAGCATTCAATATTACCATATCTTGCAGCTGCCTCTGTTGTGCTTTCATTCCACGGACAACCATTTTCGTGAGCATATTTTAAAATGTTTAAATTTCCTCTTGTGGCAGCTGCAGTAGTTGTGCCTTCATCCCATGGACATCCATTTTCATGAGCGTATTTTAAGCATTTAAAATGACTATTATAAGCAGCTATTTTTGTTGTTCTCTCATCCCATGGACATCCATTTACATGTAAATATTTTAAAATGTCTAAATTACCTTTTAGGGTAGCCGCATAGGGTGCATTTTCATTCCATGGACATTTATTTTCATGTGCATATAATACAATTTTAAAATGCCCATTACTAGCAGCCGTAGTCATTGTGCTTTCATCCCATTTACAGCCATTTTCATGAGCATATTTTAAAATTTTAAAATTATTTCTTTCAGCTGCCGCACGAGTTGTACTTTCATCCCATGGACATCCATTATCATGTGCATAAATTAATATTTCTAAATGACCTCGTTTGACAATCGCAGTAGCTGTGTCTCCATTCCACGGACAACCATTTTCATGTAAATATTTTAAAATTTGTAAATTACCTCTTGTGGCAGCCACAGTAGTTGTGCTTTCATCCCACGGACATCCATTTTCGTGTGCATATTTTAAAATGTTTAAATTTCCTTTTGTGGCAGCTGCAGTAGTTGTGCCTTCATCCCATGGACATCCATTTTCATGAGCATATTTTAAGAATTTAAAATGACCATTATAAGCAGCTTCTTCTGTTATACTTTCATTCCACGGACACCCATTTTCATGTGCATATTTTAAAATTTGTAAGTGACCTTTTGAAGCAGCAGCACGAATTGTACCTTCATCCCACGGACATTTATTGTCATGACAATATTTTAAAATTTCTAGATTACCTGTTATAGCAGCTAAATAAACTGTGAGTTCATCCAATTGGTATCCATTTTCGTGAGCATATATTAATATTTCTAGATTATTATTTAATATTGCACTTCTTACGATAGATAATTGATTCAATGGACATCCATTTTCATAAGCATATTTTAAGCATTCTAAATTACCATATTTTGCAGCTGCTTCTGTTGTGCTTTCATTCCATGGACATCCATTTTCGTGTGCATATTTTAAAATTTCCAATTTACCTGTCATAACAGCCAAATTAGCTGCGAGTTCATTCAATTTGTATCCATTTTTGTGTGCATATTTTAATATTTCTAGATTATTGTTTATTATTGCAATTCTAACGATATGTAATTGATTCCATTTACAGCCATTTTCATAAGCATATTTTAAGCATTCAATATTACCATATCTTGCAGCTGCCTCTGTTGTGCTTTCATTCCACGGACAACCATTTTCGTGAGCATATTTTAAAATGTTTAAATTTCCTTTTGTGGCAGCTGCAGTAGTTGTGCCTTCATCCCATGGACATCCATTTTCATGAGCGTATTTTAAGCATTCCAAATACCCATATGCAGCAGCTCCAATAGTTGTATCTTCATCCCATTTACATCCATTTTCAAAAGCATATTTTAAGAATTTTAAGTTTCCAATTTCTGCAGCTGTTCTTGTCATACCTCTTTTAAATTTGCATATTTTTTTTTCATCCGAATATTTATATTGAATTGCTAAATTTACACAATTATTAATTAAATTTGCTGTATTAAAATTTTATCTAGATTTTCTAAATTAAATAAACAAAACCCAGCACAGTAGTGTCGCGGTATAGTGGGGATGTTGCATAGTTGGGTCCAGAATAGATTTAATCTGACAGTGATTAAAATCACTGTCATAAGAAACGTTTCGATGCAAATCTGTAGATAGTGTTTAATTTTAAAAAATTGATGGATAACTACAAAAGCAACAATAACTTCTATTTCCTTAATTATACCCAGATTAGTAATTCTTTTAATTATATATTATATTATTTTTAAAATTAATTGTTTTCAAATTATTATTGATATAACAGTGGCGGCACTGTTTATAGGGACACTGTTATCACTGTTGTAATTTGTATAATCATATAGATTTAATGTGTAAAATCTATGGTAAAATTTTAATAATTAATAATTATTTTTATTTTATATAATTTAAAGAGTATATAGTAATAAGTTTTAAATTATCAATTCTTTATTGTTTATTGTTTATGTGTGTATTTGTTATACAATTTAGTATTAATAAAAAACTTTATTGTAGAATCGATCAACTTATTATTGAACAAAATTACATTGATTTTGATTTTTAATATGTTAAAAGTAATAATTTTGAACCTACTTATTATTGTCCTTTAAAGTGAAGGTTTTATTAAAAAAAAAATGAATTTATTACCATAACAAGTAGATAAATTTGCAAGTTTGAAATTGATATTATTAGATATATAAAAATGAAATTGTTAAGATTAATATGCTGTTAACAAATTTTATAATTACTATTTACAGTATATTTATCAGAAAAGTTAGATTTTTTTACATTTTTATCGTAATACATCACTTATATAAAAAATCATAGTAATCATTTATAATTAACTTTTGGCGTTTAAAAAAATTCTACAATGGAAATATTCAGAATTTAATTAATTTTAATGATTATATATCTAAAAACGCCAATAAAAAAAAAGTTATTCGATTTAGCCTAATATAAAAATAATAATTATAAAAAAATAGCGCAGTGTATTGCCCTTATAAGATATTTTAAAATAAAATAAAATACAAAACCCAGGATTTTAACACAAAAATAGCATATTTTTGAATACGGTAGCCATTTGCGCATAGAAGATAGGTCGTCGGGACAAATTTTTTATTTCATTTTATAGTACATAAAATAAGCTTTAATTTGATATATGTTTAAAGGACGCAGTATTTCCGGAACATTTTCAAAAATTAAGTTGAAAAAGTTAGTTTTTGTAAAAAAGTTGCTATTTTAAATCCCCCCCTAATGAGCAGGTTAAGTGTTAGATTTTCAAAAAAATGATATCAAATTAAAGGGAAATATCTAAGGTTTTGGTATAAAATTGTGTTGATTTGTTAATTTTTGAAAAAGTTATGGAATTTTTAAGAAAAAAATGACAACATTTACCGATTTAAAAAATTATAATTTTGTTGAAAATTTCCCTTATTTGCGGGGAACGACGAAAAATTTTCAATTTTACTATTTTTAAGGGTATTGTCTTCAACTAGATACGATTTGTGATCTTTTGACGTATTATTGAAAGAAATCGGTTCAGTGAGATCTGATAAAAAGTAGTGATAGACACAAAAAAAAAACACATTGTAAAACCAATATCTTCTCAGCTTCGCATCGTAGCTAAAATTGTCAATAAAAACTTGTTTATATGAATGACAGCATGAATAAAAGATAAGTATATAATAATAATCAGCGAATTATTAATAAAAATTTCGACAAGAATCACTAAACTTTTTATCAAACAATAACAGAAAAACGGTTGATCGAATAAAAAATATTTTAAGAACAAAATTGTTTGGAATTTTTTTTTTCGCATTATTGAACTAAAAATAAAGGTTCTCATTAAAGAAAGTTGAAGTTTTGGGTTTTTTTAAGGGTTTAAAAAAAGTATATTTAACTATTTATTACAGAAGAGTTATTTGAATCATACATTTTTACTTTTACGAAAAAAAAAATGTTAAATAGATTCCAAGAAAATGAGTGTCTTATCTTTAATTGATCATTCTATATAACTAGAAAGGCAACTTCGTAGTTAATCTGAATAAATTTTTGTATAAATTGCTACAAAAAATGTATATTGAATAAAATTGATAGTAAATAAATATAACAGGTATAAATAATTTAAAATAGAGTTTACCTTCATTATATATCAAACAAGATATTATCAACAAAAGAGATATCAATGGCCAATTCTAAAAAAAAAAAAAAAAATCTTTTAAAGATTCAATAAAGCATTTCATGTATACTATATTATTCACCTTCATTTTTTCTCTACGTGTTAAATTCTGAATAAGTAATAACAATTTTTTTGTTTCATTTTTATATGTTATAAGTTCCACTAATGACATAATATTATTTTTTTACATTTTTAAATTTAAAAAAAAATTCATAAGTAAATATTAGAGTGTACATTAAAAAAAAATATAACACATATATTATTTTTAGTCAATTTATTAATACAAAAAATTAAAAACTAAAGTAAATCGGGATTGACATGAACACTTTTTATTTAATAAAAAGAAGTCAATTATTACTGCATATACAAATTTAAAAATTTTATTTTATCATTATTATAATGTATAAAAAACATTTTTCTAACATTTTTTCAATGTTAGAAAAATTACTTAATTACTTTTACACTTTTTTTATTTAATGAAAGAACTAGCTAACATTATTTTAGGAAAATTATAATCGAAGATTAGAAAAAAAATTTTGTACAGCAATAATTCAGATGTTTCCTGAAAATATCATTGGTTTTTAACTTAACTATTATTAAAATTAAAATCTCATGACATTTTTGTTAGACGCTCAGTACTCTAGACAACGTTTTTGAATTTATTGTACCATTTTATACCATAAAAACGATTTTTTACTCCGTTATACTTGTATAGTATTGTAATATACATGCTACAAGAATAATGAAAATGTCTGAAATTTTGAAATTGGATCAAAATTCTCCTGCTATAATTGTTTAAATTATACTGGTCTTTCTATTTTCAAGCACGTATTTTTATTTTGACATTATTTAGTATGTTCATACAGGGCCGGATTTAGAGGAGGGCTGAGTGGGCTGCAACCCAGGGGCCCCCACAAATTTGGTATACATTGGTATCACAAATATGATAATAATTATTATTTAATAAGTAAAAAAATATATTTCCTTGTTTATGTATATGGGGCCCCTACATACCTAAATCCGCCCCTGTGTGCATATCACAATTTTGTTTATATTTTGCGTTTTGTAATTTAAAACAATAAATGTTATTTGGACACTGCATTAAAAATTGTTTTTTAATAATAGATAAGTTTTCTTTGACATACTTGTTATGCTATGTAATAACACTACACAACAATAAATAAATAAAAACGGTAGCACAGTGGGTCGAGGCACAGATGATATCTGACAGTGATTAAAATCACTGTCATAAGAAACGATTCCATGCAAGTCTGTAAATAGTGTTTAATTTTAAGAAATTAAAGAATTATTCCTAAAGGAAAATTAACTCTTATTTCCTTCATTATTCCTGGTTAGTAGTTTTTTGATTTATTAGTGTAATATGTAAATAAATATCTATTATTACAATACAATGCAATTTTTATAGAGAGGTTCTAAAAACTTATAAAGAAGTATATTTTATTACTTTTATGAAAACTATTATAAAAATTGAAAAGTTTGATACAAAACCTTTCAGGTGATACTTTGTTGTTAATTATGAATAAATGGTCTACAAGGAATTTTTATCAGAGCCAAAAATATACTTTTCCATACTCAATTTTCGTGCTGATTTCAAGTCTGCTATACGATTTTTTTCATCATTGATAATTTTTAATATTATTAATAATTAGTTCAAAATGAGTGTTAACATATAAAAAAATAACCAAAAAAATATAGATTAAAAGACATTCGAAAATACAACAGCAGGCGACATCATAGTTGAAACTAGGATACTATAGGATATAACTTTACGGAATATAGTTCTTAATATTTCAATAGTAGCATCTATTTAGAGTTACTAAGACTAAGATTAATGATTACTAAGACTTCTATTTGAATGATTTATTACAATAATCAATAATCATCATTGTCTCGTTCTTATAATATTACTGTTTATTGATAAGTATGCATAAAATATAGAAATTATTTCAGATAAATAGTATACAAATCATTTTGATATTTTATATAACATTAACATGGGTTTTTATGAGCGATTTTTAAAGTGACTATTAATTGATTTATGATTGATTTGTGTGTATTACAATATAACTACACAGTATGCGTTCGTTAACTATATCTCTTAAATGTTTATCAACATTTTTTGTTTGAAACGGATTATGTTCTTCAAAGAATATAAATATAATGTATAAATATTCCATGTTATGGTAGTGACGAGTATATTACGCCAATATGTAGATATTTCATGCCTTGGACTTTTTTTGTATAGATATTACCTTGTATGGAGAGTATTGTTTTTAAATGATTTATAATGTTTTTAACCATAATAAGTTTTATTTATTTTATTTTTTACCTTAATATTATTACAAAAATTTAATGTAGTTTTAATATATTTAATAATTTTAAAAGTTATTATGCCCTTAATTTGACTTATGCGATAAAAGAATCTTAATGAGGCTAAAAGGATAATTCTACAAAACTGTAACAAGGCCAGCTATGATGTATGGTTCAGAGTGTTGGACAGTTGATGAGAAAGTAGAGCAGTGATTGGTGTAGCAGAGATGAGATTGGTTAGATGGATGAGTGGAGTGACTAGAAAAGATAGAATAAGGAACGAGCATATAAAAGAGAGTATATGTGTAGCGTCAATCGTGGATAAGACGAGAGAAATTAGACTTAGATGGCTTGGTCATGTTATGAGGAGAGAAGAATCGGAAGCTGTAAGAACAGTTATAGAAATGAATGTTGAAAGAAGAAGAGGTAGAGGAATACCAAAAATGAGATGGAGGGATGCTATTGAATGCGATATGAGGACAGTTGATGTGAGCGTAGATGATGGAGATCGTGTCAAGTGGAAGTTTAGGATAAGGGTGACCGACTCCAAGTAGTTGGGATTAAGGTAAGAAAGAAGAAGAAGACCTTTATATATGTATAATGGAAATCAAAAGTTGTATTACAATTTTTATTATTTTTTTTAAATTATAATATATATATATTTATTTGTTTATTTAAATTTTTTTTTTTTATTTCTTTTTTTCTCGGGCAATGCTGTTGCAGTCATAATTTAGACATTGTTACGCGTGTTGGTATCTCCTGTATTATATTAAAAAAAAAAATAAACGTTTATTGACACTAGTATTTTCCATGTCACAGTTAATACATACTAAATTTGAAACAATTTTGTGGCGCAAACAATAGTCTTTAATTTAAAAAAATTAGTGGATTATTCCAAAATCAACATCAACTTTTATTTCTTTAATAATCAAATCTTTTAATGAATTTTAATGCAAATGTTTTTTTTTTGTTTAAGAAATATATCATAAAATTTCTTATAATAAATAATAAAAATAATTTGTCATTAGATTGGTTACTAACCAGCATGTAAAAACAAACAGAGGTATATTTCATCGTTTGTTGCCATAGAAATGCAGTTATTTACTTGTAATGCGTGTTCGATAGTTTAAATAATTTCAAACAGTAAAGTATATAAAGAGAGAGGCCAAAATACTTAAAAGTTTTTTTTAATAAAAAATAATTTAATGCTGATACTCTATTATTTATTAAACTCGTACGATGTTAAATCTTGAGTTCGTTAATAATAATATGCCTCATGGACAAGATTTTGTAAGTAATCATTATCAAAAAATGTACACTAACGTTTTTCAAGAGTTTTTCTAAAGCCAAGTTGAGTTGGAGTTTTCTATGTTTAATTTGATATATAATTTTCTTAAATTAAGGGTGATGAAAATTTTGTCTTATTTATAGTTTGAAGATAAATCACAATCTTTATTAAGGAATATTGCAAAAATGTGAATTTATACGTGTAACAAAGAAACAATTTGCTAAAACCGCCACGCAAGCACATACACACACATTGTTTTCTTTTTTTTTTCTGATATCCTGACGACTCTCAGCCTCTATCTCCCCTCTACGAATCATTAATAACAATCCTAACACTATATTTTATTAAAAACAAACAAAAATACTAAGAAATTCAAATTAAAAAAAAAAACAGAGTTGAATTATTATAAATCTTTCTCCTGAATAATAATTTTTCCTACATGCTTTATACTATTTCATTGGGTTATTAAAGAAAGGCAATCATTTTTAATGTGTTTAAATTTCTGCAAGATGAAAAAATATTGTTATTAGTGTATTTAATACAATGTACCTATCTAAAGTTACATTACAAAATATAACATAGGAAATAAAATAATTTACATTTTGACTCTAGGAAAAAAAGAAGAAACAAGAACGGAAGAAATCAATACTTTACTTGATAGAAAACTTTTTGAGGATAGAAGGGTAAAATTTTGAATATTAACAAAATACAGTATGATTTGTTCTTAATAAATTACAATTGTTATAAATCTGTACTGGATAAAATTTCGTTTATTTGTATGAATCTTGTTAAATATTAATAATAATAATAAAAAATTTTTTTTTCTAATAATAGTTTTTAAAGAGGACTTTCAAAAAATAATTGAAAACCTATAATTAATTTAATGATATTATAAACTCTAATTTTTGTAGTCAAACTGACCTCAATAATCCAAAATTTGGATTGAACTCAAACTGAACATTCATTTTAATTATTTTCAGACAAAACCATGTTTATGTCGTAAAATGTACAGTATGATACTGTTATGATATACATAGTATATCATTATTGTTACAATGTACAACTTAAAAGTTTAAATAATAAATCACATAACATGACATGTATACCAATATAACAATAAACTATATATATATACTTTTTAAATGTCTAAAAATATATCAATGTAATTTTGCAAAAAATACATAATTTTATAAAAGAAACAGAAAATAATAAACAATATGTAATAGTAATGTGTTAGCATAAGGTAATAAATAATGTGTAAGATTTTATATAACAAACGGTAGAAAATGATGAAATGTGGATCATTATTGACGAAAATGTAATAAATATCATGTAATAAATTACAATTAATAAAGAATTAATAGTAGCGTCGGTGATCACTTCTTGCCTTTGAAAATACTATCAAAATTAATATAAAAAGCCCAAAATAATGAGCATTCTGGCTCAAATGTCACTCTGATGGTGGTCAGAATGCTCTCATTTGCTCAGACGCGGTCAGTTATTACCAGAGGTACTCAATACGTTCAATAGCGTTCAATCATTCTACACTCTATTTTCATATTGAAATATATCCGAGAAGTAATCCACCATGTCTCCATTATAATTTTATAAGAAAATAACAAAAAGTGTCATTGGTAGGAAACTTATAATTTCACCAAAAATTTATAAGGTTTAGAATTAAATTTTATGAGTACATAGATTAAGTAGGTATAAAAGAAAATCAGGTGATCATCAATAATAAGAAATATACCATATAAATTGAATAAATCGATAATATATAATAAGAATTGATCACTTGTGGCTAATTAATTAAATAAAATAAAACTATATTAAAAATATTATTAATTTAAAAAATTAAAAAAATATTTAACTCAAAAACTACAAAAAAAAATTACTGAAAAGTCGCAGATACGTATTTCGGAAACAATGTTACCATTATCAACGCTAAACACATCAGTATGTTTAGCATATGTGTTTATGTTTAGCGTTGATAATGGTAACATTGTTTCCGAAATACGTATCTGCGACTTTTCAGTAATTTTTTTTTGTAGTTTTTGAGTTTTTTAAAATAATAATATTTTTAATAAAGTTTTAATTTTATTTAAATTGATAATGTTTGTACAGAGTTATTTAGCAGAGATATATCTTTGATACGTGTCGATTTCAGTAGTTAAGTTGGAGGTTCATATATAGCCACCTCACTACTCTGGGTATACACACGAGGTGACTCAATCCCACCTATCATCGATAACCGTCAAAACTCGTGGCATTATTGATATTAAAGAATTGACAATTAATCACAATAAATCTCATATTAATAAAATGAAGATAACTTTATTTTTCTATCATCTTCTACCTTTCTTACAAACCCTCGTAATCATATCCCGAGTAATAATATAATTAATACAACAAAAATAGTAGTTCAACACCAACCTTTCATTTAATTTTTATGATTCTTTCTTTTTGAGTTACTATAATACCTCAAAAAGTAAAATTACAAAACTGGTTATCGACTACTCAAAATTCTATTAAATCTATTCTCCTTATAATAGTAAAAAAAAAAATACTTATACGTTCTTATTTAACTTTCAAATTTTACACCTAAAAATGACCTATTCAAAAAGTGCTTTTTAAATGTACATAATATTTAAATGGCTTATAAAAATAAATTAAATTATCANTTTTATTCTTTAGTCTATACTCTTTAACTATTTTATAAATACGTATATGCACTAATAAAAAAACTAATAGTGGATATACGCCGTATACCCGCGTATCACTCATGATTTTATAAGTATACGCAATAACAGAAAAACAAAGAAGTGGGTATACGCCGTATACCCGCGTATACGCTCCACAACACCTCTGGTACCATGTTTATATTTTTAATCAAAAATTTAGAATCTATAATTCTAAGTTATTATAGTATTTTTTTATAAGTCCTTTTATTTTTAATAGATTAATAATTCCGATTTAAGGAACGCATTATATCCTAGTATAATATTGATTATAGTTTTTACAGGATAAAATTTGAATTATATTCTTTATTAATATTATATATGAGCAAAACTTATAAATAGTGGTTAAAAATAACCTAATATAAATATTTCGTTACTAATAATTTAAATATTCTCAAAACTTTAGTGGTTATTATTTTTTTAAAGATACATTGACTGTGCATCTAAATTAATTGAAGAAGCTCGTCTTGATACCTCACAATACACAGTCTGTGATAATATAGACTTGGATACCATACTTTTAGAATATGAAAACTACTATTATGTGCGTTTTCAAAAAAAACCAAAAATTAGTAAGCTGTTAACAGGTTCAAATAGTGAGATCAATACAAATAAAAAAAATAAAACAAAACTTACAAAAAAAATACAAAAAAATGTTCAAGATGTTCCTAAGTCATTAGACAACTCCGCTTCTATCACAGTAACTCCTATGATGAATGAAAAAAATCTGGAATTTAGTACATATGACTTTCCCGTATTAGATCTAAGTCATTGGAAAAATGATTGGTTTTCATATGCAGAAATCATATCAAAAGTAAGAAATATAATTTCAAATTGAAATAATTTACTAGATAGATTTTTAACCGTCATAGGAAATTCTTGCTAATAATCCTGGAGTTAACTGGTTTGATATTAAAGGACTGTCAACAGCTAAACAGTTATTACAAGAAGCTGTATTACTACCTAACAAATATCCTGATTTATTTACTGGTCTATGTACTCCTTGGAAAGCTATGCTTCTGTATGGTCCACCGGGTACAGGTAATTTAACTAACACATTTATAAAATGAATTATCGTTTATTAATCAAGAAATATTTCAAGATATCATCAATATTTATTTTATTGAAATAGTAATAATTTGAAATAATTGTATTATAGGTAAAACATTACTAGCTAAAGCGGTTGCATCTGAATGCAACACTACATTTTTTAATGTCTCTCCCAGTACACTAATTGCTAAGTGGAGAGGAGATTCCGAAAAACTTATTAAAGTTATGTTCGAGATGGCAGAGCAAATGGCTCCTAGTACCATTTTTATTGACGAACTGGATGCCATCACATCCAAGCGAATTGATCACGAAGCTTCTCGTAGAATAACTTCACAATTGTTGATGCACATGGACGGCCTTTTAAGTAGCGATAAAAGAATATTTATATTAGCAACTTCAAACCATCCATGGTAATTATTCATTATAGTAAAGATATTACAAGAATAATTTAACTATAGTTTATATTCCAATAAAAACATATTAAATTATCGATTTACTTACTCGTTAACTCCAATAACTTTTTGCGATTTAAAAAATAAATCAACTTTATTTTTACATGTTTGACTGATACAACGTTGTATACGTTTTTAAATGACCAATTAAAAATCACGAATTAATGTATTGAAAGTATTTTTAATTTTAGGGAAACTAGGAAGAAAAATTTAAATTGATTTTTATAAATTTTCAGTACTTCATCGTTCAATTTTACTATTTTGATATATCTAATTAAATTATGATTAAAACTTATTCAGTAGTATTTAAAATACTTTTTTTGTGTCTTTGTACATAATTTTTATTGATATGAGTTAAAAAAATATTATTATTGGATCTTTAAGTAGTTAAACAAAAGAACGTTTTGGTCTATGATATTTCTTTAATATATCTCGTTTCAAGGGATTTGGATTCAGCCATATTTCGAAGATTTGAAAAACGAATGTTCATAGATTTACCAGATGCATTTGCAAGATATGAAATGTTTCAACATTATTTGATAGAAAAATTGAAAAAAAACAAACACATTCGTTGCCAAATCGACTGTGATAGTTTGGCGCAGGTAAGCAAATTTTATTAAAAAAAACATACCTTTATGCCTAAAGAACTGAGGTATAAGGAGTGTCTTTAAGTGAATAATTTGAATATAGAGCACAAATGGTTACTCTGGATCGGACATTAAACTAGTATGCAAAGAAACGGCAATGCAAGCAATGCGGTTAATATTAAGCAGCATGGATGTCAATTTAAAGAATACAAATTGTTTAACAATAACAACTGATGATGTACTTGAAGCTATCAAAAAAACAAGACCAACGACTAAAAAGACTGACAACAATAAATATCATTATTGGGAATCTGAATATGAATCTACATAAAATGTCAATGTAATCCAGATTTTAGTATGTTATTTATGGATTTAATGACTGTAATTAGCATTATATAACAATAAATTTATTATAAATACATTTTTTTTTAATTACCTAAAAATTGTTAAGTTTAATAATAAAATCTTGTATCTTCCTTTTTTAATCATTGTGTATAATTGATGATTTATAAATTATTTACAAAATAAATTCAATTATCCTTTTTTTATCAATTTAATATAAATATTAAGTAATTTCCAAATATAATAAAAATTTAGAAATTAACCAATGAAAATATTTTTATTATTTTTAAAATACAAAATGATTTTTTTAACGTTAAGATTTTTTTTTAATGTTAAGAACAATTTTTTTTATTATTGAAGAATGTTTATATATTGCTAGCTGTTATATTTACATAAGAACAAGTTTTTGTATTATAATTATCAATAAAATATAGCAAAAATATCTTTTTCAGTGAAATGAATATCATTTAAATAGGAGAATTTTAGTACTTAAATGAAACTGACAATTAATAGTGTTAGTTATTGTAACAAATGTATGCTTTAAACTAAGTAAGAAAATTTAAGACTATAGAGAAAGAATAAATAGTGTATAAAGAATACACTACAGTATGTAGGGAATAATATTAAAGAGTTACTTGATAAAAGAGATTGTTGAGTGAGAGGAAAAACAGGGTCTTCATCAGCCCTTATACAGAGTGTTCAGTAAGTTAGGAAACAGTTAAATTGTTACAAACAATGAGAACAATAGAAACCCGTTTCCTGACTTACTGAACACCCTGTATAATGTGCCACGAATGGAATAAACAGGAATTGGGCGTCTCGAATTTGTCATAATTTTTTATTGACACATTTAGTGATCACTCCGTAATCCAATCAACGTAAAACAGTTACTTTAATTAATTTTCCTCGCTTAATACTTTTGTGGTGCCTCAAAGACGTCAAGAAAAACAATGACTCATGGCTACTTTATAGTTGCCAAATGTCAGAATTAAATGTGTAATAATGTTAGTATATTCTTTATTGTGGTCAGAGAAATAAAAGAGGTATTGATTTTGTAATATTCTAGAGGAGAATATTACATGATGTTTCATTACTTTTAAGTATTAGATTTTAATTCTTAAGACTGTTTTTATTATAATATTTTATAGTAAAAAATATTTTACTTTGTTATTTTGAAAATAATATATTGGGAAAAAGTTTACTATAAAAACTTGCCTTATCCTCAATATAAAAAAATTTTTATCAGTGATTGTTCTGAATCTTTTTAAAGCGGGCCGAACTAATTAACTTCGTTTCTCTGATATATATAGGTTTTTTCCAGTATGAAATTTTCCTGGCTTTGTAGTGTTATTAATAAAGATGTTCATATAAATTAAATTTTAGGTTTAATTTTATTAAAATATACATTTGTAATATAAGCGAAACAACTGTAGATACAACAAGACATTAACTTAAAATTACTAATATTTGATCAAATAAAATTTAAAAGGTAAATAATTGAAAAAGTAATTTTCTAACATACATAATTGAAAAAAAATTATTTATATATTTTTGTAATAAAATATTATACATAATATAATATCATAAACTTTATAATCTTTTGAGTTATAACTTAAAATGAAATATAACCTATTATTTTTAAAAATAATTTGAATGTGTTTCAAATTGAATAACAATTTTATTTTGTACAATATTATTTAAATAATTTTAAAAATCATTATTTGGATAAAAATTTATTCAAATGAAATTTTATTTACATGAAAATGTAAAATGAATTGAGTAATAAAATGTAGATAATTCAAATAATTATAATGATTCAAAATGTAATGTATATTTTAGCTATTTATTATTTATTTATTTATTTTTTTTTGTGTCTAACTACTTTTTCTCGCTCTCACTGGACCAATTTTTCTCAACAATACATCAAAAGATTATAAATCATATCTTATTGAAGAAATTGTCCTTAAAAATGGAAAATTTGGCCTGCGTTTTCCGTAAATAGAGAAAATCCCCCAAAAAATTATCATTTTTAAAATTGATAAATTTCTTTTTTTTTCATTTTTTTTTTTTAAATTGCCATAATTTATTGAAAAATGAACAAATCAAAATAAATTTTTTTATATTGAAACCATAGATATTTTTCTTTCATTTGATATAAATTTTTTGAAAATCTGATACTTTATTTGCTCACAGAGGGGGATTTAAAATAGCAACTTCTGCACAAAATTTTAACTTTTCTACTTAAGTTTTGAAAATGTTCCGGAAATATTCCGAGCTTCAAACATATGCTAAAATAAAGTTAATGTTATGTACTATATGTTCAAAAAAAAAAAATTGTCCCGACGACTTATCTTCTATATGAAAATGATTGCCGTACATAAAAAACATGCAATTTTGGTATTAAAATTTACGATTCCATATTTTATTTTATCAACTTTAAATTATTATAACTCTTTGAAAAATGTATAAATCAATACAAATTTCTGTTCCTAAATAAATTAAATATATACCTTTTATCCATCATACTTTTTTTTAAAATCGGACCATTTTCCTTTATACAAGGGGTGTTAAATTTTTCAAAATACGGTACAAAGTAGAACTTTTTCAACTTAACTTTTGAAAATAAAATAGTCATCGAATTTATCAAAAAATGAAATTTTAAGCATTTAAGATCATTTTTTCTTACATTGTAACCTTAGATTTTCTTTTCTTGCGATTTTTGATAATTTTCCGGAAATATTGACACTTTTATTTAATCTTAAATTAAAACGTATGTAATATACTTTACAATTAAAAAAAAAAAAATTTGAGATATAGTAAACATGGTTATCATATTCAAAAATATCCTATTTTTGTATTAAAATTTTTGGTATTGTATTTTAATTTATTTTAATATACCTTAAAATGGGGTACACTGTTTTTCAGGATTATTATATAAAACTAATTGACATAGAATATAAAGTTAAACTTTTTTCAATTTTTTTTTCTATTAAGTCAAAAAAATTAATTTTAACATTTGAATGAGCTTAAATTCCCAATTTTATCAAAAAATGAATGCGACGAATATTTGCCAATTCAGTAAAAATCATTGCCACAGGTAATGATTTTTTTGCAATTTTTCTGTAATTAATTTTGAGTTAGAATTTTTGCTTTATATAATAATACTATTTTTTAAGAAAAATTTTTGTTAGCTTATTATTATTATAACTATATAATTATTACTATTATAATTTTCCAGCTATAATACATATACATTAATGACAATTTTCGTACTTTTTAGTTTAGATAATTTATTTTAATGTGTAAAGAAACATATAAGTAGTATAAATTATTGATAATGGTGTAAGTTAAGAATGTATAATCAATCATCAAAAAGTATTAAATAAAAAAAACCCAGCACAGGGGGGTCGCGGCACAGTGGTGACGTGGCATAGTTAGATCAAGTATAATGATATCTGACAGTGATTAAAATCACTATCATAAAAAACGCTTCGATGCAAATCTTTAGATAGTGTTTAATTTTAAAAAATTGGTGGATTATTCCAAAAGCTTCATAAACTGCTAGTTCCTTATTAATATCCTGATTAAGATAAAGTATGTCGAATGAAAAAGAGATTATTAAAAAATAGTATTTCCCATAAAAAAATTATATTGATCAATACACTTTTCAATAAGTTATAGCATAATAAACTTAAAAATGTAAAATACAAAATCGAAAATTTTCACACAAAAAAAGCATTCGGTAGCCATTTTTACCCTAAAGATAAATTAAAGTCCGAAATTTTTTTTTTTCATAATAAATTATATTACATTAGCTTTAATTTAAGATATATATAAAAGTGTCAGACCTTCCGGAACATTTTCAAAAGTTAAGTTGAAAAAATTAATTTTTTGTAAAAAAGTTGTCATTTTAAATCCCCCCCTGTGGGCAGGTAAAAAGTCAAATTTATAAAAAAAATGTACCAAATGATAGGTAATGACATCATGCATCTATAAAAAAAAGAATTATATTGATATGTTTATTTTTAATAAAGTTACGGCAGTTTTTAGTAAAAAAAATTGAAAAAATTTCGAAAATTAGCCATTTTAAATTTGTAATTTTTTCGGAGGTTTTCCCCATTTACGGGGAACGAGGGAATTTTTTTCAATTTTTGAGGGTAATGTCTTCGACTAGATACGATTTGTGATCTTTTGACGTATCATTGAAAGAAATCGGTTCGGTGAGAGCTGAGAAAAAGTGGTAACAGACACAAAAAAAAAACACATCTTAGTAAAACCAATACCTACTCAGCTTCGCATCGAAGCTAAAACAAATTATTTTTGAACAGTATTTAAATACAAAAGAAAATTGTTACATCTTTCAACCAGTTTTGTCTCGAATCTTTCCATTTTGAGTATCAACTCTGCAAGTTTATCACGTAATGAAGAACATATTGAAAAACAGGATTCTATTTGCTTAGTGTTCATAGTTAAATTATCTTCCAATGACAGTACTATTGATTGAAACGTATCATATGCCTAATAGATAAATATAAAAAATATGTTATGTACTTGTGTGTGCATATATATAGATATTAAGAAATATAACAAATATACATATTTATCAAAATCTGATAAGACATTTAATATCTCAGTGACTATTGAGAACTTTGAACTTTTGTTAAAAGAAGATAAATTAGGTTCAACAATTTTAAAAACAACTGTTGAGTTTTGCTTGTGGCATCACATGAGACTATCATAAGTAAAGTGTTTCATAAATTAATGCCTGCATTAACTGGTCCAGACATAGTTCTTCTATTCAAAAGATTTTTTAATAGCCGAGGAAATATAAATAAATAATTATATAGTAATGTTTTGAGAGATGATGTAATGTTAAAAATATCAATTAATTTGTCACAGAAAACAATAAATAATTTTTATTAGCTCTTAAAATAAATGATGACTTTTATATGATTTTTATTCCAAAAAAAGCATCAAAATTGAAATTATAATTTGGCAAAAACTAAAACTGAATTATTATTTGCGGTAAATGATACAGTAGAAAAAGGGATAGCTATAATGATGCAATTTAATAAATGTATAAAAACTGACTAGGACCAAAGCAATATTTACTACAAGATCTAGAAAAGCATCTCAATGATTATTCATACTGTAGGAAGTCAATTTTAATGTTACCAAAAAAATAAAAATGACTTTTTTATTTTGTTGTTTTTATAGCTACTTCTTTTACTTTTATTTTCATCCCCTCATCTATTACTATCCCTACACCATACTTTGTACTAGACTAGTGGTTCTCAACCTGGGGGGCGCGCCACCCTAGGGAGGCGTGAAAATGTTGAAAAAATACACAACAAATGAAAACGTTGCCGTTTTCTACGCCTTGCCGGTGTGTTGGTCGCCGCCATGGTCGATCAGTAGATATACATTATACACCGAGCGATTATTACGATTTTATCGTATAACAATATTACGGTATTAATAGAAGCATTGTTTCGGCGAAAAACAGCCACTCGACGTGATAAGAACAAATTGTGTTTTTAATATTATTACTGGTTGTAATTTGATATAATATCATAACTAAAAATGTCAAAATCAAAAAAAAGATTGTATAGTGCCGATTATATTAAATACGGATTTAGTGTAATTGAGAAAAATGGAAATCATTTACCTCAGTGCGTGATTTGTCACATAGTTTTGAGTAATGATGCGATGTGACCTGGACGATTGGAACGTCATTTAATCACTAATCATCCCAGTTTAAAAGACAAACCGATCGATTTTTTTCATGCTAAAATAAACTCGGTAAAACGTATGAAACTTGATTCTACTGGTCATTTTGCAATGGAAAATGAAAAGCTTATGGAAGCTTCTTACAAGATTGCCTTGTTGATAGCTAAAGACAAGAAACCACACACTATTGGTGAGTCCCTTGTAAAACCTTGTTTACTTACTGCTTGTAAAACTATATTGAACGAAGAAAGTTGTGCTAAAGTTGCAAAAATTTCTCTGTCAAACAATACAATAAAACGCAGAATCGATGAAATGGATCACGATTTGAAGAATCATAATAATATAAAAATTAAATAAGTCTCCGTTCTTTTCACTTCAGTGTGACGAAACAACGGACATTTCGTAGAATTCTCAATTACTGTTTTATTTTAAATTTATTGATGATAAAAAATTCAAGGAAGAAATATTATTCTCTCAAACTCTTAAAATAACAACAAAGGCGGTTGATGTATTTTCTGTTCTTTTTGATTTTTTGATATCTAACAGTCTTTCTTGGGAGAAAGTATTTGGTATATGTACTGACGAAGCACAAGCTATGACTGGCTGTAAAAATGGTTTTATTCAACTAGTCAAGGAAAAAAACCCTAACATAATTGGTTCACACTGCATCCTTCATAGACAGGCTTTAGCTTGCAAGACTTTACCTAAATCACTAAACTCCGTTTTGAATTTGACAATAAAAATTGTTAACTCTGTAAAATCTAGTGCTTTAAACACTAGAATTTTTAATGTTTTGTGTAATGAGTTGCAAAGTGACCATAAAACTCTTATTTATCACACAGAAGTTCGTTAGCTGTCTAAAGGTAATATGCTTGATAGAATGTACAGTTTAAAGTCTGAGATTGAAATATTTTTAATGAGTGCTGGGAAATTAGATTTATACAATAAGTTTACGGATGAAAAATGTATGTTTTATATAGCATATTTAGCAGACTTCTTTGGATTCCTAAATGTTCTAAATTTAAAACTTCAAGGACATACAATATTCTGAAGTCGTACGATACAATTTAAGCTTTTTTAGAAAAAATATCATTGTGGCAACGCCGTCTTTGTGCGACCAAACCTAATTTTTCATCTTTTCCACGGCTTAATGAACTTCTTGATGATACCAAAAATCACATATTAAATATCGAGAATGAGTTTAAGGAATTGATTTCAGCACATCTGATATCTTTAAAAGACCAACTATCAAAGTATTTTCCTGATATTTCTACAGAAAACTGGCAATTTAAATTAGTATTAGATCCATTAAAAATTGATGTGGACATACTTCCAGATTGTCTTCAAGAGCAAACTATCGACCTTAAAAATGATTCACAAGCAAAAGAAGACTTTAAAAATAAGACTGTTGAAGATTTTTGGCTGTGTTATCTCTCTATATATTTGGAAGTTGCCAATGAAGCTGCGAAGTTATTGGTTCAGTTTTCTTCCACCTACCTCTGCGAGTCTGGCTTTTCGGCGCTTGCTTATATAAAATCAAAATATCGAGCACAATAGGACGTAGAGAGTGATTTGAGATGCGCATTATCACAGATGTAGCCAAACATAAAAAAATTGATTAAAAATAAACAGGGGCAACCCTCTCATTAATTGTATATTATTAATAGTTAATATTAATTTTAAATTATAATAATATTTTTTTTTGTGCAAATAAATTAATTTAATATTAAAAAAACGTCATTGAAGTTGTATTCATATTAATCCAATAACCAACATTAAAGTATAGTTTACATATAAATGTTATGCATATATCAATCTTATAGTAGTGAGGAGGGAGGCGTGAAAATATAAAATAGTTTGAAAGGGGGCGTGGACCTCGAAAGCTTGAGAACCCATGTACTAGACCTACCTAAGTATATTAATTTATAACCCTCATCTATTTCCCTTAATTTCTCTCCCTTCCACTTAGTTTTCTGCATACAACAAATGTTGACTTTTCTCTTCTTCAATACTTCTACTAATTCCCTACTTCTATCAGTTAATGTTCTAACATTCCAAGTACCTATTCGTACTCTGTATCTATCTTTCTCCCTTATACACAAGTCCAGCCAAGACTTAAGTGGTGATGAACAAGCGTTGGGTAGACCTCTATACATGACTGGTGAAACAGCTATCGCACAAGTTGTCCGGCTGGTATTAAACACTTTATTCCTTAGGCCTTCTCCGTTTTTAACTACTTTGTTTATTCTCACCTGTTGTCCTCGCGTATATACGAGATGGGACAATCCGCCAAAGTTTTGTTCAGGACTCCTCATACTTTTTGACAAAAATTTTACGCCGGCTGTCGACCTGACGCAACCTCATTAGTCGCCTCCTACGACTGGCAGAGGGGCCATGGAAGTATTCTTATACCCTATTAACAAGGATAATTTTTACCCTGAAAGGATAAAAACAAAAAAGATTTAGCTACATACTATTATAAAGTTTTTTGTACCTAATATTTTTTTTCTTTACAAAAGTTTAAAATTCTCAATAATTTCTGAAAAATAAGTGTTTTATCAGATTTCAATTATCCTATATTTTATTTTAAATTACCATTATAAAAGTGTTATTTGCATAAAAAAATTGACTGTTAACATAATTATTGAAATCTAATAAACAAAGTTTGTTTATTGTTTCCACTTCATTTAATATAAGTGATTGTTCTGTTTTTTTCATGATGTGTAGCCAACAATTTTCCTTTTTACTCATTGACCATATTTTTAATAATTCCTTTTTGTTAATCTAAAAAAATATTACATATGGGTGATATTTGTTAAAACTAATAACTGCCAAGTAAAGAAATATATAAAAACTGGACTTTGTATAGCTGGAACTCTGAACTATACCCGGTGTCCTGCGGGGTTCACGCGCCTATGACGCAAAACCCTTCGCGCTGTTTTTACAGGTAAGCAACAGATACCGGTAAAAGAAAAATAGTCTCACTGGCGTGAAATAAAATCATATCTTACTTAAAACTTGCACGTGGAGTTAAAAACAAAAAGTTCCTAATTCGATCATAAAGCAACAGATTTAAAAGAAATGTTTCTAGGTAGACCAAAAGCATTTTTGATAACATTTTTGCTTTGCTAAAAAAAACTTTCTTATCTTCTTAAACAATTTTCCTCACATAATGAAAATCACAATAATAACTGAAATCCTTAAATATAAATATTGTTTTTTTTTTTTTTTTTTTTTAAAGAANTTTTTTTTTTTTTTTTTTTGATAAAGAACCTTAAAAATGTTGAGAAAATTTTTTTTTTAATTTTACATCGAACCATTACATTTACTATTGATTAATTGTCTATAGCTATCTCATACACTAAAGCTATAAATATTTTTATAAAGTTTTTTCTATTTAGAAAAAAAATTAGTGATTGACTTGTATTATAAATGCTTTAAAAACATTGGATATTAGATTATAAAAATGTACAATAACATATTACTGTACTGGAGTAAATCATTCACTATTTCTATTGGCATGAAATATTACTTTAAATATGTTATTACATTTTGTAGGAACTATTGCTTATATAGCTCTCCTAGTATTTGTACCGCTATCCAACTTACTGTATTTTTAATGATTTGTCTGCTTTCTAAATTTCTGTCCCAGTCATCGAAGACACTGGTTAGTTGAAAATCTGAACATTCTTTACAACGCGTCTGTAATATCGAAGTCACAATACTTTTAAAACGTGATATATCATTTATTGCTTTTTGCTCGGTAATTAAAAGATCATTAATCATCATATCAGTTTCATGTGGTTTTAGTTGATTTCCATGGGGATAAACCTCAGTTTCTAATAGAGTAGTCTTGTCAATATTCAGATTACTTTCGTTGTTTGAAGATTTAGCAAAAATTCGGGAAGAACGTGTTATCCTCTCTTTTTTGTAATGATGTTCAATGCAAATAGTATTCATTTCTAAATTAAACTCCCGAATAGCAATATCAATGTCACTAGGTTTTGTTTTGTCTCGCAAATATTTTTCTGTAATAATCTATGAATCATAAAAATTGATGAAAAAAAGTCAATTGAAACATTAAATCAATGATATAGTCAAAATGACATGAAGATTTTACCGTGACAAGTAAAAAAAGGGTCAAAATATATTTTTTTGTAAATTATTTTTGCTATGACCGCTACATATTAAAAATTCCTGACTATCCCTTGGCATCTAGTTGATTAACTTACTTTTGGTTTCTTTGTTGTCTTGAAAATATTGTCGCTTATTTCTAATGGTGTTTGAAACTCATATAAGCGCCAAGAAAGATAATCAAGTCTAAGATAATAATTATCATATTATTTAATTGGTTTTACAAATAAAATTATTTTATTTTATATTTTTTAATAAGAAAATTTAAGTACTGCGAGAAGAATAGTAATATAAATAATTAAATTTATATGGTTCTGCTATTTAAAATACTAATGTTTAATTAAAAATATTAAATATATTTAACTCAAAAAGCCACAAAAATATCTAAAATTAATATTAACTAATTTCTAATCCAGTTGTACTTAATAATTTACCTATCATTAAATTTTATTGCTAACAAATTTTTGTCCACAGATATTTCGACTAATGATTCAACACTAGTTGTTTCATAAAAACAAATTAAACGTCTGTCTTCAATGTTGTTTTCATTAAAATAAAATTTATGCACTACAAATAAAATATAATATCCAGTATACACAATGTGATCAGTTTATCATATACTACTTGATTACATGCCAAATAAATACAATATTGAACAAAAATTTTTTGGCTTATATTTTTTGATTTATCAACTATTAATTACTTTTTAAAATTATCCCTTATAAAATATTGGAGGTCAACTTAAATTTTTTTAAATGGGAACATACATAACTAATTACACTATTTAATAGATAATGATCATATTTAAAAGATGAGTGGTTGATAACAACATTTGAGCCAGTATTTTCGAAATATTCTCATTTTTATATCTTATCGAGAGTATATACACTTATATACCATATATATATAATATATATAGGGTGGTCCTTATTTTTCGACTTCATAAATTCAGAGTCATTGGCTCAAAATTTCGTTTAATTTCGTAAAATTTGAGTACAATAAGTCAACCCTTTCACGTGCCTCAAAGGGGTTGAAGTTCTTCAAAAATGGGGTGGATTATCTTTTTTTGAGTGTACGCTCTTTATTTTTGAAGTTTCGCCAAAAACACACAGAACAATTTTTATAGAACTAAATGTAAACAAAAAATAAGGTAATACATTATTTTTTTGTAAAATTAATATTTTTCGTAAAAATAAGAAAAATCAGTTTCACTTAATTTTTTTTAAAAAATGACATAGTTTTCAGTTATACTTTTCCAGTGTCTTAAATTTTAATTGTACGCAGAAATTGTACAGAAGTAATATTAATCACCGTAATATATTCTATAAAAATCGTTATTTGAGTTTTTTTTTGAATTATGAATCCTTTCCAAAAAAAAATTTAAAACAACTACGAAAACGTTTTTTTTTTAAAAAAATTTTTTGCATGTGTTTTTTTGTTTATAAACAAACAAATTTTCTTAGTTATATTAAATAAAAAAAAAACAACAAACACAATAAAATAATAATTGTAATAGATGAGTGTTTAATATTTTGGAGAAAAGCGCGTATTCCTACACAGTATTCTTCAGACTGTGTTATTAAATTAAAAATACTGTATGAGAAATAGAGAAAGTTGGACAAAAATAAATCTAGAAAAACAGAAACACAAGAACAACATTACAATATTTTTTCTAAAGAATTAGACAACCTCTTTGAAATTTCTCATATAATATTGAGTTTCGGCTAAATAATAAAATACTTCGGTATATAAAAACTGCTTACTTATAATGTACTGAAATTATTGTGTAATATTTAATAATTACCTGTACAATTTGCGATTTCTAACTTCTCTTTTTTCTTTCGATAATCTTCTTCTTCTTGTCGAGTAATTTTACGTTTTTCAATACCTGTTAACTTCATATCAATACCAAGCACGCCCCTGGGCGGCCTTTTTTAAGTTGTGACAATAAAAACTGTTTGTCTTCTTCAATACTAATCATATTCAGAGCCTCGATATGAGAAATTTCAAAGAGGTTGTCTAATTCTTTAGAAAAAATATTGTAATGTTGTTCTTGTGTTTCTGTTTTTCTAGATTTATTTTTGTCCAACTTTCTCTATTTCTCATACAGTATTTTTAATTTAATAACACAGTCTGAAGAATACTGTGTAGGAATACGCGCTTTTCTCCAAAATATTAAGCACTCATCTATTACAATTATTATTTTATTGTGTTTGTTGTTTTTTTTTTATTTAATATAACTAAGAAAATTTGTTTGTTTATAAACAAAAAAACATACATGCAAAAAATTTGGTATAGTTGGGTCCAGTATAGATGATATCTGACAGTGATTAAAATTACTATCATAAGAAACGTCTCGATGCAAATCTGTAGATAGTGTTTAATTTAAAAAAAAAAATTTGTCAAAAAAGTAGGTCAGGTGAGAGCTGAGAAAATAAATGATAGCTACAAAAAAAAACCACATAGTAAAATAATATTAATATGAATTTCTTATCACGAGAGGAGACTACAGTAATGGGATCCTTGATATTTATTGAAGTTGTTGAATCTAAATGAGATAAAAATCAAATAAGTTAAACATTTATTTCTAACTCAAAAAGAATTAAGAAAAAATTCAGTTCCACAGGCGTGATAGACCCAAGTGTTACCGCCGTTTCAGAAACCGTACGTCTCATTCGTCACTTAATAAAAATTTAAATTTAAATAGTTCAAATTTTAAAGTTATTTTTCTCGACTTCAAAGAAACAAAAAAATTTAAATATGTTTAATTTTTTATACTATATCAATTAGATTGATATAATATTTATGAAAATCAGTGTAATCCCCTTATAATAATATAAAATACAAAACCAAGAATTTTAACACAAAAATAGCATACGGTAGCCATTTTCACCGTGAAGACAAAATAAAGTCCGAATTTTTTTTTTTTCATAATTAAGTATATTACACTAGCTTTAATTTAAGATATATATATATAAAAGTGTCATTATTTTCGGAACACTTTCAAAAGTTAAGTTGAAAAAGTTAATTTTTTGTGATAAAGTTGTCATTTTGAATCCCCCCCTTGTGGTCTGGTAAAGAGTTAAATTTATAAAAAAAATATGCCAAATGATAGAAAAAGATATCAAGCATCTATAAAAAAAAATTATATTGATATGTTCATTTTTGAAAAAGTTATAGCAGTTTTAAGTAAAAAAAATTTCGAAAATTTCGAAAAATAGCGATTTTTAAATTTGTATTTTTTTTGGATATTTCCCCCATTTGCGGGGAACGATGGAAAATTTTCCAATTTTTGAGGGTAATGCCTTCTACTAGATACGATTTGTGATCTTTTGACGTATCGTTGAAAGAAATCGGTTCGGTGAAAGCTTAAAAAAAGTGGTAACAAACACAAAAAAAAACACATCATAGTAAAAACAAATATCTTCTCAGCTTCACACCGAAGTTAAAATAGCAGCACCTTCTCTTCGCCTCAGACTTAACTTTAAAATGTTAATAACTTCGAAATTATTATTAAAAATCGAAATTATAACCCAAAAGTTGTTGTTCACTCGTCATTATTTAATTATATCCTTTTCTACTTTATAAACTAGTTAAATATATATATGATTCCATTTAATTGAATTAGAACAAACTTTTTAAAAAGTCTTTTCTGCCATAACTGAAATATTCTGTCATCTCAGTTTCATAACTATTATACACTATATCAAGACAAACAAGTCGATCAGTTCTATATTTATATAATTCTCTAGCAAACGTTTTTTTTTCGTATTGATGATTTTTGTAAAAAGTAATTTTTTCAACTAATCCATCTGGCATCACATAGTCAGCATACAATTCTTTAACGGCATTTGCATACAGAATTAACTTTTTACCACTTGGATATGTCATGAGATATCCTGCAAATGTTTAAATAAAACAATAAATAAATAGATATACGATAGTTAATAGTCGCCAGTATTGTTATTTTCATCACTAATATTATAACTTTTTATGTTTCCCTTATACCTTCTTAAGGATGACATTTTAACTATTTACATTTTACATTTATAGAGATTGCTGAAGGTGAGACACGTGTGTAATTATTTATATCGCTAGTTATTACCTAGCCGTACTCTTTCACTTAGGTATAAAAATGTCAATAAAGTTCGCATATTTTTCCTTCATAATAGATAAAATTACATAAGTTTTAATGCAAGAAAATAATATTATTCAAAATTAAATTGATTTTGCAGCAATTATATTGACTATTTAACATGAAGTACGATTTGTATATGCAGTGCATTTAATAGATGGAAAAATTATATTACTCTAATATTTAAAATGAAATAAAAATTTTTTAGATGAATAAAAATTTTGATTCATGCTATTATATTAAAAAAAACTCTTTATAAATCATCAAAGAAGAATAGAATTAATATTTACGTTAATTACCAATTATTTAATATTATTTAAACTCCATAATCATTTAGTTAATTTATAACATTTCCCTATTTATTATATTTACATCTTAACTAAAAAATCTAGTCATACAATTAACCCATCTTCTTATCTATTATATCCTTTAGCGATACTTTTTTAGTGCAATCTTTTTAATAGAACAGTCCTAAGTACTAGATTTCGGATGTGATTAAAAATTTAATAGAAAAGAAATATGCTACATATAAGAAATATGCTATAAATTGAATTACAGCGTTGGGATAATCCCAACGTTGCGTATACCAAACATTCTATCAAAAAAAACTAAAAAGGTTTAATGTATACTAGTAATTACTATAAGGAATAAAATGCAGTAAGAACATAAAAAAAGTTTTTTATAACGCTAAGGACTATTTAAATGATCTATTACAATAAAATTAAAAAAAAAATAGTCATTTTAACGAAATGTTGAGTTTTTTTCATAAATTTACTGTAATGTTAATTATTTAAGTTCTTGATCACATATCAAACTAAATTATACAATTATTATTCCTCATGAAACTTTCTATTTAATTATATACATTATAAACTTGCAAGTTGAGTTAAAATAATGTTTAAAATTTTACATTTTTTTTTTTAAACTTTCATAAAATTTAACTTTAAAGCATCAAAAATCAAAATTTCGCACGGATTATTTTTAAAGAATAAAATCTAAAATAACTTGATAAAAATAAGTATTAAACAATATTTTTCTTGTCTATATACTCGCTTTCTAAGTAGTAATTGTCTAAAAGAAAAAAAAATATTATATTGGTCCATACATTTTTTTTAAAATTTTAGAAATATCAAGTTAAAGATATAAAATAAAAAAAAACGGTAGCACAGTGGGGTCGAGGCACAGTGTGGACGAGGCATAGATGGGACAAGTATAGATGATAT